CCTTTTTGCCCCGGGGGGCCTTTCCCTCAGAACCAGGTCCTGGCCTTCCCTTTCAGACCAGGTCTGTACCTTTCCCCCAGACCAGGTCTGTGACCTTGCCTCAGACCAGGTCCGTGGCCTTGCTCAGACCAGGTCTGTGACCTTGCCTCAGACCAGGCTGTGACCTTGCCTCAGACCAGGTCTGTGACCTTTGTTCAGACCAGGTCTCTTGATTGGAAATAAATTTATTATATTATTAAGAATTAAGAAGTCACAGGGAGTAAAGGTTTATGTATATTAAATATAGTAGAAGTTAGTAAGACTTAGCTGCATCTTTAATTAAGTCGTCATCAAACACGAAGAAAACTTTGCAATGATGACAGGACGGTTGTGCTGCCCTGTATTTGACAGGACGGTAGTGCTGCCTGTACTTGACAGGCGGTAGTGCTTGCCCGTATTTGACAGGAGGGTAGTTGCTGCCCCTGTACTGACGGGACGGTAGTGCGGCCCTGTACTGACAGGCCGGAGTGCGCCTGTACTTGACAGGACGGTATTGCTGGCCCGTACTGACAGGCCGGTAGTGCTCCCCTGTATTTGACAGGGACGGTAGGCCCTGCCCTGTACTTGACAGGACGGTAGTGCGCCCTGTACTTGAGAGACGGGTGGGGCTTGCCCGTACTGACAGGCGGTTGTGGCTGCCCTGTACTTGACAGGAGGGTGTCTGCCCTGTACTTGACAGGACGGTAGTCCTGCCTGTACTTGACAGGAGGGTAGTCCGCCCTGTCTTGACGGGACGGTTTTGCGCCCTGTACTTGACGGGACGGTGTCCGCCTGTACTTGACAGGACGGTGTCCTGCCCTGTACTGACAGGACGTTTTAGTGCTGCCTGTCTTGACAGGACGGTAGTCCTGCCTCGTACTGACGGACGGTTAGTCCTGACCCTGTACTTGCAGGACGGTAGTGCTGCCCTGTACTTGACCGGAGATCCTGCCCTGTACTTGACAGGACGGTACGTCTTGCCCTGTACTTGACAGGACGGTAGTGTGCCTGTACTGACAGGACGGTAGTCACGCCCTGTACTTGACAGGACGGTAGTCCTGCCCTGTACTTTGACAGGACTAGTGCTGCCTGTACTTGACAGGACGTATGCTGCCCTGTACTTGACAGGACGGTAGTCTGCCCTGTCTTGACAGGGTGTAGTGTCTCTGCCCTGTACTTGACAGGAAGGTAGTCCTGCCTGTACTTGACAGGACGGTAGTGTGCCCTGTACTTGACAGGACGGTAGTGCTGCCCTGTACTTGACAGGACGGTAGTGTGCCCTGTACTTGACAGGGACGGTTAGTGCTGCCCTGTACTTGACAGGACGGTAGTGCTGCCTGTACTTGACAGGACGGTAGTGCTGCCTGTACTTGACAGGACGGTAGTGCTGCCTGTACTTGACAGGACGTGTTTAGCCTGCCCTGTACTTGACGGACGGTAGTGCTGCCTTGTACTTGACAGGACGGTGCGTGCTGCCCTGTCTTGACAGGACGGTAGTGCTGCCCGTACTTGACAGGACGGTAGTCCTGCCCTGTACTTGCAGGCGGTAGTCCTGCCCTTGTACTTGACAGGACTGGAGTCTCTTGCCCTGTACTTGACCAGGACGTAGGGCTGCCTGTACTTGACAGGACGTAGTCTGCCTGTACTTGACTCAGGCGGTATAGTCCTGCCCTGTACTTGACAGGACGGTAGTGCTGCCCTGTACTTGACAGGACGGTAGTGCTGCCCTGTACTTGACAGGACGGTATGTCCTGCCCTGTACTTGACAGGCGCTGTAGTAGGCTGCCCTGTACTTGACAGGACGGTTGTCTGCCCTGTACTTGACAGGACGGTTGTCCTGCCCTGTATGACAGGACGGTTTAGTCCGCCCTGTACTTGACAGGACGGTAGTCCTGCCCTGTACTTGACAGGGACTGGTTAGTGCCTGCCCTGTACTTGACAGGACGGTAGTGCTGCCCTGTACTTGACAGGACGGTAGTGCTGCCCTGTACTTGACAGGACGGTAGTCTGCCTGTTACTTGACAGGCCGACGTTAGTTGCTGCCTGTACTTGACAGGACGGTAGTGCTGCCCTGTACTTGACAGGACGGTAGTGCTGTCCTGTACTTGACAGGACGGTAGTGCTGCCTGTACTTGACAGGACGGTAGTGCTGTCCTGTACTTGACAGGACGGTAGTGCTGTCCTGTACTTGACAGGACGGTAGTGCTGTCCTGTACTTGACAGGACGGTAGTGCTGTCCTGTACTTGACAGGACGGTAGTGCTGTCCTGTACTTGACAGGACGGTAGTGCTGTCCTGTACTTGACAGGACGGTAGTGCTGCCATGTACTTGACAGGACGGTATTGCTGCCCTGTACTTGACAGGACGGTAGTACTGCCCTGTACTTGACAGGACGGTAGTACTGCCTGTACTTGACAGGACGGTAGTACTGCCGTACTTGACAGGACGGTTAGTCTGCCCTGTACTTGACAGGACGGTAGTACTGCCCTGTACTTGACAGGACGGTTAGTGATGCCCTGTACTTGACGGACGGTAGTACTGCCCTGTACTTGACAGGACGGTAGTACTGCCCTGTACTTGACAGGACGGTAGTACTGCCCTGTACTTGACAGGACGGTAGTACTCCCCTGGACAGGACGGTAGTACTGCACTGGCAGGGACGGCAGTACTGCCATGGACAGGATGGTGTACTGCCCTGGACAGGACGGTAGTGTACTGCCTGGACTGGACGGGTTGTACTGCCTGGACAGAACGGTAGTTGCTCCTACTGGACAGGACGGTAGTACTGCCCTGGACAGGACGGTAGTACTGCCCTGTGCTTGATATGACGGTAGTACTGCCCTGTGCTTGACATGACGATAGTATCTGCACTTGTACTTGTCAGGACGTAGTCTGCCCTGTACTTGACAGGACGGTAGTACTGCCCTGTACTTGACAGGACGGTAGTTATCTGCTGCTGTTACTTGACAGGACGGTAGTACTGCCTGTTACTTGACAGGACGGTAGTACTGCCTTGGACAGGACAGTAGTATTGCCCTGGACAGGGACGTAGTACTTCCCTGGACAGACGGTAGTACTGCCTGTACTTGATAGGACGGTAGTACTGCCCTGTACTTGACAGGACGAGTTGCTGCCTGGACAGGACGGTAGTACTGCCGTACTTGACAGGACGGAGTAGTACTGCCCTGGACAGGACGGTAGTACTGCCTGGACAGGACGTAGTACTGCCCTTGACAGTACGGTAGTACTGCCCTGTACTTGACAGGACGGTAGTACTGCCCTGGACAGGACGGTAGTACTGCCCTGGACGGGTCCCAGGGATGCAGCACCTGAACGCAGTTGCAGAAAAATCTTGACCTGAATTAACTACTCTCCATATGGCTTTTTTGCTACCAATAATAAAATATGACTTACCTGGTTAGTGTGGTGGTGAGTGAGGGGCGGGTTGTTGTTTTGGTTGAGCACCTTCTTGGGGTACCCATGGTTGCTGGTGGCAGGTTCTTTCCTGAAGAACCTCATGTTCGCGTTCAAGATAGTCCCAATAGCTTTATGGGTAGCCAGGTTGACCTAGTTAGGTGACTAGCCTAAAAGATGTTAGGCCTATAGCTAGCCTGGTCGATGGAACAGTTTGCAAAGTCCATAATCAGGGCTTAAGTGCATTCAAGTGGACTCATTATATTAAAATTTTTCAACATATTATACTGTCCACTTAGTCACATCTGTATTTTTTATATTTTATTTTCAAATTTATGTGAGAAATTACTACAAACTTTCCTTTTTCGTGGCCAAAATTAAGTCTGTCAACTTGTGTTTCAGCGTCTCGCCACTGAACACTGTCTGCTCTCCTGCAACATGTAACTCCATAACATTTATAATGCCAGAAAACACTATATACATAAAACACTATATACATAAAACACTATATACATAAAACACTATATACATAAAACACTATATACATAAAACACTATATACATAAAAACACTATATACATAAAAACACTATATACATAAAACACTATATACATAAAACACTATATACATAAAACACTATATACATAAAACACTATATACATAAAACACTATATACATAAAACACTATATACATATAAACACTATATACATAAAACACTATATACATAAAATCACTATATACATAAAACACTATACTACATAAAAGTTGTATAAATTCACAATACGAACCATGAAAAATTAAATATATTTTCTTTAAACGCAAAATCTAATAAAAAAAATGTACGAATTAAGAAACAACAGCGAAGTTAATATAAATATTCTTGAGTCTTGTTGAACTGTTGACTCATGACTTACTCACCTGCATGACAAGTGTTGTTGAACTGTTGACTCATGACTTACTCACCTGCATGACAAGTGTTGTTGAACTGTTGACTCATGACTTACTCACCTGCATGCAAGTGTTGTTGAACTGTTTGACTCATGACTTACTCACCTGCATGACAAGTGTTGTTGAACTGTTGACTCATGACTTACTCACCTGCATGACAAGTGTTGTTGAACTGTTGACTTATGACTTACTCACCTGCATGACAAGTGTTGTTGAACTGTTGACTCATGACTTATCACCTGCATGGACAAGTCTTGTTGAACTGTTGACTCATGACTTACTCACCTGCATGACAAGTCTTGTTGAACTGTTGACTCATGACTTACTCACCTGCATGACAAGTGTTGTTGAACTGTTGACTCATGACTTACTCACCTGCATGACAAGTGTTGTTGAACTGTTGACTTATGACTTACTCACCTGCATGACAAGTGTTGTTGAACTGTTGACTCATGACTTACTCACCTGCATGACAAGTCTTGTTGAACTTTGATCATGACTTACTCACTGCATGACAAGTGTTGTTGAACTGTTGATCATGACTTACTCACCTGCATGACAAGTGTTGTTGAACTGTTGACTTATGACTTACTCACTGCATGACAGTCTTGTTGAACTGTTGATCATGACTTACTCAGCTGCATGACAAGTGTTGTTGAACTGTTGACTTATGACTTACTCACCTGCATGACAAGTCTTGTTGAACTGTTGACTCATGACTTACTCAGCTGCATGACAAGTGTTGTTGAACTGTTGACTCATGACTTACTCACCTGCACGACAAGTGTTGCAGGCTTGTGGTAACACCTTTACACCTGCTCACTAATATTTCTGTCCGACCCACATGACCTTAACAAGATTCTACATTTAAAACCAAACCTTACATTTTTAAGTCCATCTCAGCAACAAAACTCGCCCTTAAAGGGTTTACCTAACTATTTTATAAAAAAATTTAAAAGATACAGAAAATTACTAAGAGTACTTTGTGCCTTTTGGGGCTATGATAAAATCTTGACTACAATGAACGTAGTCATGACGTAAAAAACTGACGTATCATGCCGTGAGCTACCCAAAAATTAGAAGGCATTGAAGGGGAGGAATGACAAGGCAACCTTCTTTTGAGCACTGAAAACTTTTTTTAACAAAAATTTCACTTACAATATGATGTTTTTAAAGATAAGTAAAAACCATCCCCCTGTAAAAAAAATAAAAAAACAATATAACAAAGTGTTGACAAAAATACTGAAAGAGGAAAAGTACGTCGCAAAAACCCCTGTCCCTGGCCATCAACTTTCGTACTTGGGAAACGGATAAAAAGGGGAAAACCCTTAAAAAATTGAAACACCCAACTTTTTGTGACCCTTTCAACGGTAAGAAGGAAAAAAATTTTTCAGAAAAGTGTTTGGGAATCATCCGGTTGTAAAGGCTTGTTTTTTTCCCCTTTGCAGCAATATCCAACCCAGACCCTAGCAATTGGCGGTAACCGGATAAGCCTGCCCTTCGAAAACGGCCCAGACTCGGGGAAAAATTTTTAAAGGGGAAAGTATTGGGACGAGTTAAAATAATGTTTAAACCAATTTAAAGGTTAAATTCGACCCAGGCAGGGTTTCCCTGTAGGACTTTAGAAGAACCGACGGGGTCGGTGCACCACCACCTCCGTCATCAAGCCAAAAAGTGATCCGGCTTCCAAACCCAATAGCTTTTTGGCTCTTCAGGGACATATTTAAAGAAACTCAGAATCTACATTTCAAAATTTAAATGTACAAAAGCAGTCTCCCTAAACCCCAAATTTTTTTGATGGCAGCAAAATCGTTACTAAACCCTCAAGTACACGGGCAATAAGGGGGGTCAAAAAAACTAAGTGATTTTTTTGCACAGTTATACGAACAGTAATGGGAAGCTAACTTTAGGGGTTAGTTCTCTCGTCAACACCTGGGCTTACACGTCCACCTCAAAACTTTGCCTCAATTTTTTGCCTCCTTTCTTAATACAATTTACTCCCTTTATGGGGTTTTGTAAGTTTTTCTTTTTCTTTTAGCCCGGCCCCGGGCCAGGTTTTTCTATGGTTTGCTTGGGCAAAATTGGGGGTTTTTGGTGGCGGCCCCCCTGGCCCATGTTTCCCTACACCCCGATTGTTTTTTACCTGACAGAGGGAAATTTTCTATTTCTTTTCCTTTAAAAAATTCTACACTGGGGCCAGCAGTTAATGGTATCTTCTGGCAAGATGTTGACCAGTTTCCTTCTTTTCTATGTAAAGTTGACACAGTTCTCTTACTTTTTTTTTTTGGGCCCCGTTCCTTAAATATGTATTTTTACACATTCTCCTTACTATGTTTTTACACCGTTCCTTAAAAATGGAAAGTTACACGTTCTCTTTCTAGTATGTTTACACCGTTTCCTTTCAGCAAGTTGACACAGTTTCTTTTTATGTAGGGTTTACACGTTCTCTTTCTGTGTTTTGTTTTCCCCGTTTTTTTTACTGTGTATGTTGGGCCCCCGTTCTCTTACTTTTTTGGGCCGGGCTCTTTAAGTGTATGTTTACACAGTTTCTTATGTGAAAGTTGACACGTTCTCTTTTCTGGGGTTTGTTGGGCAAAAGTTCTCTTACTATGTATGTTGAAAAACAGTTTCTTAAATAAAGAAATTTGGGCACCGTTCTCTTACTATGTATTTTTACACAGTTCTCTTACTATGTATGTTTTACACAGTTACCTTTACATGTTTTGTTTGACACAGTTCTCTTACTATGTATTTTGACACAGTTCCTTTTCTAGTATGTTGACAAAAGTTTTCTTACTATGTATGTTTTTCACAGTTTTCTTACTATTTTATGTTGGGCCAGTTCCCCTTTACTATGTATGTTGACAGTTCTCTTACATGGATGGTTAAAAAAGTTCTCTTACTATTAAGTTGAAAACAGTTCTCTTTTCGTGTAAAGTTGACACAGTTCTCTTTTAAGTATGTTTACCCCATTCTCTTTTCTATGTATGTTGGGGCCAGTTCTTTACAAGGAAAGTTGACACAGTTCTCGTTTCTATGTATGTTGCACAGTTCTCTTACTAAGTAAGTTTTACACGTTCTCTTACTATGTATGTTGAAAACAAATTCTTTACTATGTATGTTGAACAGTTCTCTTTTTTTTAAATTTTACAGTTTTCCTTTTCTTTTAAAGTTGACACAGTTTCTTACTAAGTATGTTGAAAACAGTTCTCTTACTATGTTAAAGTTTAACAGTTCTCTTACTATGTATGTTTACACAGTTCTCTTTCTATTTTATGTTGACACAGTTCTTTACTATGTATGTTGACCCCAGTTCCACTATGTTTTGTTTTTTTCCCAGTTCCCTTACTATGTATGTTGACACAGTTCTCTTTCATGTATTTGGGCACAGTTCTCTTAAATATGTTTTTTGACCAAAAAGTTTTCTTACTTGGGATGTTGACAGTTCCCCCTTTTCTATGTTTTTTGACAAAGTTCTCTTAATAAGTATGTTGACACAGTTCTCTTCTTGGGAAGTTTACACAGTTTTTCTTTCTATGTATGTTTTACAAAAGTTCTCTTTCTATGTATGTTTGGAAAACAGTTTTCTTACTATGATGGGGGACACAGTTTTTCTTACTATGTATGTTGACACATTCTCTTACTAGTATGTTGCACAGTTCCCCTTACTATTTAGTTGCAGTTTCCTTTCTATGTATGTTGACAGTTTTTTTACTATGTTTTGTTTACACATTTTTTTTTACCCATTTATTTTTGACACAGTTCTTTACTAAGTATGTTGAAAACAGGTTTTCTTAATGTATTTTTACACAGTTCTCTTTCTAGTATGTTGGGGCACAGTTCTTTTACTATTTTTGTTGGGCAGTTTTTCTTACTAAGTATGTTTAAGTTCCTTTTTTTTAAAGTATGTTTACAGTTTCTTTCTATGTTGTTTTACATTCTCTTACTATGTTTTTTTGACAGTTTTTCTATTATGTATGTTGACAGTTCCCCTTATATGGGAAAGTTTGGGGCAGTTCTCTTCCAAAGTATGTTTACATTCTCTTAAATGTATGCTGACAGTTCCTTTTATTTATGCTGACAGTTCTCTTAATGAAAGTGACACAGTTTTTTCTTTCTATGTATGTTGACAGTTCTTTAAATATGAAAGTTTACAGTTCTTTATTTGTATGTTTACAGTTCTCTTACTATGGTTTTTTGACGTTCTCTTTTCTAGGATGTTGACGTTCTCTAAATTTTGTATGTTGACAGGTTTTCTTACTATTATGCTGACACAGTTTTTCTTACTAGTTTGCTGACACAGTTTTTTCTTACTTTTGGCCCCCCCGCAAACCCCGACCCTTTAAAGGGGCTATTCTTTCACATTTCCCCCTTTTCTTCACCCCCAATAATTATTTTAAAAATGCTTTAAGGCTCTAAAAGGGCCGTAAATGATCTCTGAAATTTCCCCTTCCCGCTCTGAAACCCCTTTGCCTGCCTGAA